CGCGCAGGGGTGAAATTATGAATTTCGGCCTAAATTAAGCTTAATTCTGGTCATTATTCGAAATAACGCCCATGCCCTTATTTCGCGAAAATACACGTATTTTCGTGAAATAACGGGCATGGGCGTTATTTCGAATAATGACCAGAATTTAGGCCGAAATTCATAATTTCACCCCTGCGCGTTATTTCGCGAAAATACGGTAGTATCCATTAACTCCATTCAGAGTTCCATTGGCTCCACTCGCAGCTTCATTGGACTCTATTGCAAACCTTGCCTAGCCCATATTTACATTTATACATTTTTTCTATAAGTACTGTATGCTTATAGCATATAGTATAATATTTATGAAATAAAAAAAAGTGCATTCTTGATCGATCAAAGTCTCTGTAATGCTTAATTCAATGAAGTTTGCGGAGCTAAAAAATTGTTCAAAATTTATTTATTATACATATTTCTATCTGTATAATGTAAATTTATGTATAAATTTCTGTATTTGGTTAGACACCAAAGTTTAAAATCAGGTTTTTTAAAAGATAATCTGGTTAGATCTTGCATTATAAAAAATAAAACTCTCCGATTTTCATACATCAGATTCGTTATGTTCAGCAATTTTCTTATTTTACGTCACGATTTTATATTTTTGCTACGTAATACTTGTTCTAAAAAATCTATAAAATTTAGAACATTATTTACGCAAGCTCGTGGTCGTACGGACTTGGCAGAAAAAAATGACACTTCTACAGAAAATTCAAGTAATGATGTGTCGAAAAAGCCTTCGAGAAAATTGAGCAAAACATATGATCCAGTATGTTATTATTCATTGAAAAATCAAATAAAAATAAATTCTGTTTATTTTCATCGTAATTTTTTTTCATAAAGTCGATCGTTGAACAAGGATGGTATGATTGGTGGGAATGTAAAGGTACATATATATTTTTTTTTACAATGATCCAAATGTAAGATTAACATTGATTATATGATTTATCATGGAATTTTAAAGGATTCTTTGGATCGAACAATATGGGCGAAAATCTTAAAGAATCCACAAAAAACTTTACAATGCTTGCACCGCCGCCTAACATTACTGGTAATTTACATATTGGACATGCTTTGACACTTAGCATTCAGGTTCGTTCTTACATATGAGTGCCGCCAATGAAAAACTTGTCATCGAGATTTCAGGTTTATTGCTTACCGGACTCAATCTATTTGATTTGTTAAAGATTTTGTCCGCCACAAAATATAATTGAAAACCGGTGACAGGTTTTCCCTTGGCGGTACTCATATATGAATGATAATGATGATTGCTTTTGATAACTTGTATAAAATATACGTTTGCCTTTCAGGATGCAATTGTTAGATGGTATCGAATGTCTGGCTATCAGGTATCATGGATACCTGGAACGGATCATGCTGGTATCGGAACACAATCAGTTGTAGAACGGCAGCTTTATAAGACAAAAAATGTACTTTAAATGTTTGGCCTTCAAATATTGCGTATATTTTTTTCAATCCTCGTGAATAAATTTAAATTCCTTCATTTTTTATGTAGCTTACTCGACATGACCTTGGTCGCGAAAATTTTATTAACGAAGTGTGGAAATGGCGCGAGCTTCATGGAAATCGAATTATCGAGCAAATGGTGTGGTTTCTTTTCTATATTTTGCTATTGTTAAATACAATTTCTTCAAATTTAAAATAATTCAATTTATATAAGAGATGTTTAGGTGCATCACTAGATTGGCAAAATCTATTTTTTACTATGGATCCTCCTCGATCACATGCCGTGACGAATGCATTTGTCAAGCTATTTAATGATGGAATGGTTTATAGAGATACAAGACTTGTTAACTGGTGCTGTGCTTTGGGAACTGCGATTTCAGATATCGAAGTAAGTAAAATATTTTTTATTTTAATTATAGTTTAGGATCTGACAATAATTCTGCAAAGGTAGATTATGAAACTGTACAAAAACAAACGTTATTGAAAATTCCTGGCCATAAAGAAAGGTAATTGTTTATTAAAAGTGTTTCGATTCTTTGATATTTTATTATAACAATTTTTATTTTTAAATCAGTGTCGAATTTGGCGTTTTACACAAATTTGCTTATCCTGTTGCTGACATATCAAGCGGTCTCTCGGAATTAATCGTGGCAACAACCAGAATTGAAACAATATTAGGTGATTGCGCTGTGGCGATACATCCTGATGATCCACGATACAAGGTTTTATTTCTTTAAATGAGCAACATTTGGTCTTATTTTAATAATGTTAACAACCTAAATTGATTTTTAGTCGCTGCATGGTAAAGAAGTTATTCATCCTTTACTAAACAAGCGAATACCAATTGTATGTGATGCCGAGCTAGTGGACATGCAGTTTGCAACTGGAGTTGTCAAGGTATTTTCTTTATGATAGGAAGCCGAATCGACGAGTTAAATGAATGATCGTGTCATCTCAAGGGTGCGGACGAATTGAATTGAGCCATGGCTTGCTGAATCGTGATATCTTTAATTTATTTATTAGGTGACGCCTGGGCATGATATCAGTGATTACGCTTGTGCTCGAAGACACCAATTGCCAATTATAAATATTTTGAACAAAGATGGAACACTGAATGAAAATTGTGGTATTACAGACTTAATTGTAAGTCTATATTCCCAATTTTTTATTATTGCCTAATTTTTCTATTTAAGTTTCTAAATTATCCTTTAAAAAAGAACAAGGATCGATTTGAAGTTCGCAAGGATATTATAAATCGGCTCCAATTATTGGGATATTATCGTGGGAAGGATGTAAATCATGAAATGAGAATTGCTAAGTGCTCAAGATCTGGTGATATTATCGAACCTTTGCTACAACCTCAATGGTATATATCTCTTTTATATATTATTAAGGATATATATTAAGGATTACGGGCAATTTATTAAATATATTATAAAATTTTTATTTAAAAAGGTATATTAAGTGCAAAGATATGCAACTTAGAGCCTTAAAAGACGTCGAAAATGGAAAAATGCAGATCCAACCTAGTTACCATGTTGAAGAATGGAATCGATGGTTAGGTGATTGTTTTCATAAAATGATGTTATTATGTATGGTTGGAATTGTAAAGCTAATATTTGTTATATTTGTTCTATTTTGGTGTGTAGGAAATATTCAAGATTGGTGTATTTCAAGACAATTATGGTGGGGACATCCAGTTCCAGCGTATAATTTAACTTATGAAGGGCAAGAATCTGGTAAATAACAATATATATTTTCCGATTTTAAGGACTTTCACACCATTTGACGCTGTCTCTATCTACACGAATTTATTGCTTTTTAGATGAAGGATTATGGTTTGCTGCAACTTCATTGTTGGAAGCTGAACAATTTGTCAAGAAATATTTTCAACAAAACAACATTTCTTTACAAACAAATTACACTCTGAAACAAGTAATCTTAACCATTTTGCTGAGTTATAAATTATTAAATCCATTCCATATTATTTATCAATATAAATGAATATAATAGGATGAAGATGTATTGGATACATGGTTCTCATCAGCATTATTACCATTGTCATCTTTGAACTGGAAAGGTGACCAAAATATTCCCGTAAGAATATACATTAGTATATTGAGGTTTATTCAAAAAATACTACATATTGTAATTAGGTATTCTGTTTATGAACGATACAGGAGAATTACCCTACAACAATGATAGAAACAGGGTTCGATATTTTATTCTTCTGGATAGCTCGAATGACGATGTTATGTACTTATTTCTCAGGGGAACCTCCTTTTAAAAGAATTTTATTACATGCAATGGTAATATATCGATTTTATTTATTTAAATATTTACCATAAAATAACAATATTAACAATATCAAATATAGGTTCGAGATGCGCAAGGGCGTAAAATGTCAAAATCACTTGGAAACGTAATCGATCCGTTAAATGTAATTGAAGGTGTCACATTAGAAGAAATGCATCAAACAATACATAATAGTAACTTATCGAAATATGAAATAGAAAAAAGTATTAAACTCTTATCAAGAGAATTTCCTGAGGGAATTAAAGCATGTGGTACTGACTCATTAAGATTTGGTTTGGTAAATTATACTCAACAGGTATGTATTTTGAGATTGACTCTTTACGTTGGTACCAGTTATTACTAAATATGAGCTTGAATAACACTGTTTTGCTTTGAGTAGTCCAGACAAATCAATCTTAATATCTCATATATCACATCTGTCTTACATTTTTGTAACAAACTTTGGAACTTGTTCAAATTCTCAAACGATCGTTTCTCATCTTTAAATCACATCACACACATTAAAGAAACAGTATCTTGCAATTCATTTTTAGAATCTAAAAGTAATTTAACATTAATAGATAGATATATATTATCAAGATTATCTAATACAGTAACAAAGTGTCAACTGGGGTTTGAAAATTTTGAATTATTTGAAGTCACAAGGGTTGTGAAGGATTTCATAGTTGAAGATTTATGCGGGATTTATTTGGAATTTATCAAACCTATCTTGTATGATAATTCTGAAAATACTGACAAAAAGGTAATTCGCTTTATATATTAACAGCATATAATTTATTTATAGATTTATAATTCATATTTAACTTTCAAAAGGTTCAAAAAACGGCTTTAAAAGTATTAGAAACTTGTTTAGATACATCACTTAGACTGTTACACCCTTTTATGCCATTTATAACGGAGGTTAGTTTCTATGCTATCTTTAAATTTAATATTTAATCATTATTAACGATATTAACAATAAGTGATTATTTTAAATGTTTATAATAGGAGTTATGGCAGAGTCTTGTTGAAAGGTGTGATAATAATATAAAGTTGGGAACTCCAGAATCGATAATGGTGTCAAGATATCCGAAAGTTGCAGATTTTGAAAATCAGAAGGATTATACTGTTGAAGACGATATGAAGGTAAATATTTGTTATGATTAAATAAGTGTGAATCGTCATTTAGTGATGATCTGTTGATAAGTTATAACATATTGTAATGTTTCCTGATATGTATAGATGGTTTTGAGCGTAATCCATGCAGCAAGATCACTTCGCCAAAGTAATAACATACCACTCGGACAACAATTACCATTTATCATATGGTCGGATGACCGAGGTTTATTAGGTGATCAAGGTCTAATTAAAAAATATTTTCAAGATATAAAAAAGTTTATTAAAGCTTCCGAAATTCGAGTGATCGATGACAATATTCAAGTAATCGTAATATTTATATCTTATGTTCATTTAATATTTTCATTATCAACGAATTTATTTGATATCCTAAATTTATATTTTAAAGGATGAATCTGTAAAGACTTTACTAACGGATTCGGCGGTAACTTTGATTTCTACAAATCTAAAAGTTTACGTTCCAATGAGTTCAATCTTAGAAATTCAGAAAAGTACTGATGGCAAGGACAAAGTCAAAGCTTCAAGTGATAATTCATCTGGTATTCCCAGAACTGAAAACTTGTCAAGACTGATTAAAAAATATGAAAAAATTTCAAATGAGATTGAAAATTTGCAAGGAAGGATCACTAAAGTTGAATATTTGAAAAAAGTTCCTGAAAAAGTTAAAGAGAATGACAGGTGCGTTTTTTTTTTTTGCAACAATGCACACATATACATACGCGTTAGCGTGATATTATAAAATGACTTTGTTTTTAGGAAAAAATTAATGTTATTGATCGATCAGAAGAATGACTTGGAAAAGAACATAAAGTTGTCTCAAAATATAAATGAATATATTCAAAGTTAAATCCCGAATTGAGAAATAATAAATAATTGCTCGAGAAACCCACAAAAACTTCACATTTCACATGATTACATACCAAAGTCCTAAATTAGTGATTGTTTGACCTATTTTTTAAAAATAGACTTTGGATATAGGAATTCGGAAAATTTCGGGAGAAATGGTGTGAATTCGAGATATATATTTAATATACTGTTTGTACGAACAATCGTGCACCTCCAACACTATAATCAATTGATACAAAATGACAACTAATGCATGAGCTATCTTTTTCAGCCATTTCCCAGTTTCAAGTTTAGCACCAAAATTCTAGCTAGCTTCCGAAAATTTCGACATATGAAATTTTGCCTCTAGATATTCGCTTAGTGTGTAGCACTTCCTACAATACCCCTTAATAAAGTATCCCCTTCTACGGGAGCCGTTAAAACCCGAAGCTCAAAATCTCGAAAAAGCAATATTTCGACAATTCATTAATTCGAAAACTAAATCTCGAAAAAAAAAATATCCCGAAAGATCATAATCTTGAAGGATCACAATCCCGAAAAAAAAATACCCTGAATGCAATAATCTCGAATGTAATAATCCTGATATAATAATCTCGAATGTAATAATCTCGAATGTGATAATTTCGAATGTAATAATATCGAATTAATTATCGATCTGAATAGACAATTAATTTAGTTGAATAAATTTTAATAGTTTTTTGTTTTCTTTTCAATTAAGAGCAACTGTATAATCATAAACATATACAACGCTTTTAAATCCGTGAAACATTCAATTTACTTTTTTACGCTCAAAATAGTTCGTAAATATCAAACGGCAAATGTGACGTTTCACGATTTTATATGAACGTTGTTAACATGAAGCTGATTACGTCTAAATTGAAATATTATATTACATTCAACTAACCGCAACCCAAAAGTTAATCCAACTAAATTAATTACCTATTCAGATCATTAATTCGAGATCACTAAATTATTACATTCGAGATTATATTCGGGATTATTACATTCGGGATTATTATATTTGGGATTATTACATTCGAGATACTTTTTTTTCAAGATTGTGATTCTTCGTGATTATGGTTATTCGGGATATTTTATTTGTGCGGGTTTGCTGGTTCAAGAGTTATTGCTATATCGATATGTTTTTACTACGTATTAAATTATCGTCGATCTACAGTATAAAAAATCTTGATAAATCATTATATGACCTGATATTTGTACACTTAAATATAGAATAGCGCGCAAAAACAGTTAAGCATAACAAGCTATTAAATATAGGCATAATACAAGATAAGTTAAAACAGCAAATACAAGTCTAGAATTGCAATTCTTCTGACACTCCAATAACTTATGCTACGCCAAAGTTAACTTATCGTATATCAACATTACTCTTTTAATCCTGGACGTAACAATAGACAATTCATTCGCAGTGTATAAAATCTGAATTACAAAACATGTGCACAAGGTAAAATGTTATATGTAAAGAAAAAAAAAACATATACACTGAGCACACTGTTGCACATTGATTTATACACTGCAGACGTTCATTAGGATTAATTAGAATCGGTGTTAAGGTTGGTTCAAATTATTAAAAACAAACTTGTCGATGAAATAAACTGCCTATGAAATGAACTTGATTGTCTGTCATACTGGGAATTAAATTAGAGATTCTATCCCACGGCCCTTCTGATGATATTTTTATGATTACGTAATGCCGTGAAAATATCAAAAATTTTTCCAGTCATAACGTAATCAGTAAAAATTTTTAACCAGAAGTATCATGGGCATAGGAACCGTGGATATTTCACAGTGTGTCATGAACACAATGTATTACCACGGCTCCGCCGTGCTAATCCATCATATTCACAACAACTCGTGAAATATCTATTACAAATAATGACCGGGTTCAATCTCTGGTCGAAAGCGATTGATTGATTCGAATCAGCCAATCATAAATCACTAGAAGTCACTGGATATCACTGGAACGGATTTTGTTCCAGTGATAAAAAATATTCACTGGAACGGTCCAGTGACATTCGATCACTGGAAGCAATTATGCAGTTCTAGTAATTCCCACTGGAACGTTCCAGTGAACAATACTGTTTATGCCGATTATAAATACTATCTTAAATTTGACTCAAATTTAATTTTCTTCAATTCTGTTAGAGATTCAAAATTCCCAAGGATTTCTAGGAGCACTAAGTTCATGATTTAAACAGTCACACAACAATTGACAGACTAGGTGAAAATCCTAAAAATCAGATAAAATAGATCTATATATCCAAGACTATCATACTATGATACATTTTTCATAATCGTGCTTTAAAATATTATGTATTGATATATTTATCGAACATCTAAAACGAACCCAAATTTGACGATGATCATTCGAATTACAGAAAATTTGGTAAACCCAACGAAGCCTATTTTAGGGGTATTAAGGAAGGAAGTTTACCTACATTAGCGTAGACTACCCATAATATAAGATGTAAAGCTGGTTTTCGGACCATCCTAAAAATTTGGTGCTCATTTAAGAAGTCCTAAATTTAATCCTAAAGTCCGAACCGAGCATAAACCAATGGCATTTTTGGTTACAGCTATTATCATAATTTCTGGGACACCTGTTCATTACCCGAAATCTTTTTGGTCGTTCGGTAAATTACCTAACTCTCCGGAAACTACATCGCTATCTTCGGACCTTCGGTCCGGATGCAGTAATGTAATTTCCGGAGAGTTAGGTAATTTACTGAACGACCAAAAAGATTTCGGGTAAGAGCAGGTGTCCCAGAAATTATGATAGCTGTAAATTTCATGTGACTTAGCAGTCATGATTTTCGGAGCAATCCTAAAATTGTCCGTCCGAAAGTCCTAAAATCCGAAAATACTCTTTGCCAACTCTAATAAAAGACCCTAATCCTAAAGCTATTCAATAAAATATTAATTATAAGTTGACACCGCTTTAGACGTCCCTATATTTGGTAGGCGCAAAAACTTTGTACGTAGAAACTTAAATTTTTGCTAAATATGATTATCATATGATAGTTATATAGCTATTATATAATAAAAATATGATAATATATATAAAATATAATAAATATATGATAAATAATATTACAAATATATATATATTATATGCAAATAATGATAAAAATATTTATAAGACTGTTAAGTACTACTTTACAGAAACCTATACAGTATTTTTTGCTAAATAATATTTAGTATAACTCAACTTATTAGACTAAATAACCCTCAAATAATCCTGGTCATTTTTAAATGACCATAATTATCTGGTTACAAGTTATTTTCAAATGGCCCAAAATTGAAATAACTGATAATGACTAGTTATTTTAGGATTATTTGAAATTATTTTAATTTTACAAATAACTAAATCATTTACTATTACTAGTAAACAAGGCTAGAAGTAGGTGTATAGTTATAAAAGCTATAAGTAAAAAATCTAAAAGATATAGAAGAATGAATAAAGATAGCTTCAAGATAAGATATGATAATATAGTTTGGTAAGAGGTATAGTTTATTAAATAAGTAAATATATATTTTATTATAGTTAAGTTTGATAGATATAACAATTTGGTCTTGGAGTCTAGTTTATAGTAATGTAGTAGCTAAATATATATAAAAAGAAGAAGTTAAGTGTTTAGGGTTGGAATTGGTAGGCTATTATGAAATATGAGAAATTGGTTAAAACAAATAAGAGAATTATAAAAGATCAAGAGAAGTATAATTGAAATCATAGTTATATATATATATCTTTTATAGTATTGCTTACTATATACCTGGCTCTCACAGTTAGTGCTCCTAGGTCTGGTTTGGGTTTGGTTCTGTCTGAGTCTGGTCTGGGATTAGACCAGACTCAGACTTTAAATTTTACAAATTTCAAACTTCAGACTAGACTTAGACTCAATTATAAGTTTGGTCTAGGTCTGATCCAAAGTCTGCAGACTAGTTTGAGTTCGAATATATTTATATATATTTATATGTATTTTTAGGTGCTGAACAAGATTACTTAGTACATGAAGTTAGAATTAATTAGTAAAATATTGCAAATCATAAGATTTTATAGAATTTTATTAATAAAATTTTATAAAATCTTATAATTCGCAAATTTTTATTAATTAATTCTAACTTTATGTATTAAGTAAACTTGTTTTATATTTAAAAATATATTAAAATATTAGAATTTTTTTTATTTTACTTGTAATTTAGAGAATAGGTGTATAATTTTAGAAATTTAATCAAAAAAGTCAAATTTAAGCATCATTTCTTTAAATTACAAGCAATATAAAAACAATTTTACCAATTTAATGTATTTTTAGGTGCTAAACAAGATTACTTAGTATATAAAGTTAAAATTAATTAGTAAAATATTGCAAATTATAAGATTTTATAAAATTTTTATTAATAAAATTTTATAAAATCTTATAATTTACAAATTTCTATTAATTAATTCTAACTTAATGCACTAAGTAAACTTGTTCAACGTCTAGAAATACATTAAAACAGCAGAATTTTTTTTATTTTATTTAAAATTTAGAGGATAGATGCATAATTTTGAAATTTTAATTAAAAAAGTTAAATTTAAGCATTGTTTCTTCAAATTTCAAGTAAAATAAAAAAAACTTTTCTAGTTTAATATATTTTTAGGTGCTGAACAAGATTACTTAGTACATTAAGTTAGAATTAATTGGTAAAATATTGCAAATCATAAGATTTTATAAAATTTTATTAATAAAATTTTATAAAATCTTATAATTCATGAATTTCTATTAATTAATTCTAACTTTATGTATCAAGTAAACTTGTTTAGCATCTAGAAATTTATCAAATAGCAAAATTATTTTTATTTTACTTTAGATTTAGAGAATAGATGTATAATTTTGGAATTTTGATCAAATTTCTAAAATCATGCACCTATTCTCTAAATTACAAGTAAAATAAAAGGAATTCTGCTATTTTAATGTATTTTTAGATATCAAACAAGTT